TTCAAATTCTTCGTATCATTATTTCTATAAAATTTTAAAGTAATCTTCCCTTTTCTCTTTTCAAAAACTACATCACTTATGTGTTAAATTAATCTTCGCAGTATTTGTTGTGTAGTATTGTTTTGTTGTGTAGTATTGTTTTGATGTGTTGTTTATGCTTTTGTTTATATATGGTATGAAGTGCTTGTGGTGTCTTTATGTGCTGCTTGTAATTTTGTTGTTTGTGTTTATGTGGTATGTGGTGTGTTTATATATTTATGTTATAGCGTGCTTCTTGTATCTTTTTGTGCTACATGTTTTGGTTGTTTGTATTGTTATGCTACTTTGTTTGTACTTATGTGTTGTGTTTATGTATGATATGATGTGCTTGTGGTGTGTTTTTATGCTTGTGTTGTGTTTATTAATATATGGTGTGTTTGTAGTGTCTTTGTTTTTATGATTGTTGGTATTGATATGTTGGGTTACATGTGGCAAATTGTGTTGGTGGTGTGTGGTTGGGCTAAACATACTATGCTTATGGTGTTGTGTTTTGTTGTTTGTGCTTGTGATCATATATGGTATGACATGTTTGTGGTATCTTTTTTGGCTGCTTGTATTGTATTGTTGTATTATTTGTTTTTGTGTGCTGTATTTGTATATGGTATAGCGTGTTTCTTGTATCTTTTTTGTGCTACATTTGTATTGTTATGCTACTTTGTTTTTGCTTGTGTGTGTTGTGTTTGTATATGATATGATGTGTTTGTGCTGTCTTTTTATATTTGTGTGTTGTGCTTATTATATATATGGTGACGCTTTTGGTGGATGTTTGTATTGCTATGCTGGGTTGCATGTGCCAAACTGTGTCGGTGCTTAGTAATGTTGAGCCGAATTGTGTTGGTGGTGTAGTTGGGTTAAACATACTTTGCTTATGATGTTGTGATGTGTTGTGTTGGTGTTGTTTGTGCTTGTGTTTATATATGGTATGACATGTTTGTGGTGTCTTTTGGTGTTGTTTGTGCTTGTGTTTATATATGGTATGACATGTTTGTGGTGTCTTTTAGTGTTGTTTGTACTTGTATGTTGTGTTTATATATGGTAGAGTATACTTTTCTGTTACATATGCCGGTTTGTAATTTTATGCTACTTTGTGCCTGTGTGTTGTATTTATGAATGATATGATAAGCTTGTGGTGTCTTTTAATGTTGCTTTTGCTAGTTATTGGTATGGTTACGTTGGATTGGTATGTAATCGTAATATTTTGGTGTCTTCTCTGTTGCTCTCACCATGTTGTTTGTATTGTAAAATTGCATTGTTTGTGCTTGTGGTATTGTTTTGTATTGTTTGTGCTTGAGTGTCTAGTTTATGTATGATATGATTTGTTTGTTGTTCATTGTGGTATATATTAAATTCAATTAATGTTGTTTAATTTAATGTATGTATGTGAGAATGTCGTTTCTAGTGCCCATTTGAGTTTAGCTGGCCATTAGATTCATATTTAATAAATATGTTCGACTTAATTGTAGTTTGTGTAGATGTTATGCTTTTATCATGTGTTGCTAGTGTTGATGTATATATTCTTACTAGCTTTATATTCTTTATATCCAAGTGTGAGGTAAAAGCATAAACTAAATTATGATAATTTATTTTATCGTTTTCTTTTTGCATCCCTTTTTTAACTTGCTGGCTGTGTGAGGTTTGGATGGCCTTGGATGGAATTTGCTGTATGGTTGGTGTTTGTGGAACTAGACCAATGATGTGAGGTTAGGCTTAGTCTTGCTAAATTAGACCAAATTTGGTTTTAATATGAAATTTTAAAAATGGCGATTTGAAAAAATGATAGACAAAAATTAAAGATTGTAATTTTTTTTTAAAAAAAAATAAAAGGTAATAAAAGTCATAGAAGTTTAAATAATTATAAATATATTTATTTTTATAATTATTAATTTAAGTAAATTTAGGACGGATTTAATATTTTAAAACTCATAACTCTTTGAATACAAATAATTGAACTCGAATCTAAATCCAAAGCAGGTCCGAGGTTAATTAGAGCCGTCTTAATTGTTATTACTGCGTAAAACCAAAAGTTTATTTACTCCATTTTATTTATATTCTTTAAAAAATAAATATATTAAATAATAATAATATTTTTTAAAAATTTTGAAATAATTCATAAAATCAACACACGATAAAATAAATTTCATATATATCAAGAGAGGGTTTAACAAAGCTATAGAGCATCGACTTGTTTTAAGATCATAATTGTGGACTATTCTTGTATGTTATCAAACATTTGTATTACATTAATACTTTTTTTATTAAAAAAAAAATAGAGCTAAATTTGCTGGACAGACGGAGTATTTAATATTGAGATTAATTTTAATATATGTTTGGTAGAGTATTATTTCATATGTCATATAAATTTATTCTCATTTTATTTTTTAGTAAATAAATTATATATATATTTTTTACTTATTTTACTTAAAATTTGTGTGCGGTCAAATGAGAAAATAAATACCATGTTATGTGTATTCGTTAAGAGACACAGTGAGTATATATTTATGTATTTATAGTAAAATAATCATGTGAGCATGTGGAATTGATGGATTTAAATTCTGAAAATCTAAACAGCAAATCCTTTTTTAAATTTGTGTCATCAGATTCACATGAATTTATGTGTTTTATGATTTCGAAGGATTCAATTATATATTATAAGTTCTTTCTTTAGAATTTTCTAGAGTTTTGCAATTGGTATATTCATAAAAAGTAATTTCAGTTTTGTAATAATAATATAACAATTCGATGACACTTGAGTTTGTACTTATAAATAATTAGGGGAGGAAAAAAAAAAAGAGAAAGTCTATAGGGTTGTGTTTGTTTTTTTATTATTATTTAAAAAATTATATATAATTCTATAAAATAGTTTCAATTTTCTTAGATAATATATGTAGTTATTATTTAAACAAAAAACATAATCAAATAAATCTAGGGTGAGATAAGAGTGTGTTTCTTTTTGATGAGTTTGAAAAAAATTAGTTTGAATTTAAATAATATTTGGTAGGATATTTTGTGAAAAAAAGAAAAATCTAAAAATTCAAAATTTAAATAATAAAATTTGAAAAAAATTTGATAAAGTAAAATATTTACTATTGAATCTTGTTTGAATTATGATATGATTTTGTGTATGTAAACATAAGATAAAACATAGAACATGATTCTTTTGAATGAGTTTGAAGAAAATTAGTTTAAATTTGGTATTAAAATAATATTATTTAATGAGATATTTGTGAGACAGTTTCTTTATTTCTTTTTTTTTTTAAAAAAATGCAGAGTTCATATACTAAAAATTGAAAAAATTAGCAAAAAAAAAACACATCCTAAAACTATGTTTGGTATGAATTTCTATTAGTTGAATTATGATATGATTTTGTCTATATAAACATGAGATAACATGAAACAAAAAACATGATTCCGGTCAGTTTTTTCAATGGGTTCGATAGGTATTCTGGTAAGTGATTTCGGTGATTTTCGACAGTTTTCCAGTGAGGATTCATAGCCTTTTTTTTTTAATCAAAATTTGGTGAATGTCTAGGTTTTGAATGACGTGCTGACTTCCACCAGAGTGGTTACCCTGAACTATTTGACATCGGACTGAGTCGAAAATTAATATTCCTCTCGTCGGAGAAAGATTGAAGCAGTTCAGAGACGATTGGAGTGAAGTGCCGCTGTTTGAGATCGTCGGAGAAGGAATCGTCACCAGAGGAGCCATCTGTTGGGTTTGTCGCTCAATCAATCGGTGCTGTCGTCAATCAACTGGAATTTGATGTCCATCGGAGCTATTGCTGTAAGCTGCCGCTGTCCGGCGGCCTAGAGCAATTGACGGAGGAATATGCCGTCGGAGATTGAGAGAATTCATAGATGTTCGTCGTTGATTGTGGGTCGTTGTCGCTTGGCTGATTTATGAATTGTCAAGGCCGTTTGTTGTCAATTGGTTTCTTATATCTCCGATGTATTATTTGATAAAGCCCCACGATTTAGGATATAAATTCACAATCTCCTTTGATTCACATCAAAATACAATTTAAACAAAAATTCAATCAACACTTCATTTCAAATTAATTTCAAACCATAGTCAAACAAACATTTAAAATTTTTATTTTAGCCAATAGAAGAAACAAACATCATAAGTTACAAAATTTGACAAATACCTAAATTCTTTTACAAGTACAAAAAAATCCAACATAAATGTTTAGAATGAGTTTCATTTAAAAGGGTTTGTTTGATTGTCATTTTAATTTGAAATTGTTATTAACAGACATATATATATATTTTTAATAGATATATATATTTTTTTATAAAAATATAAGTTAAAATACTATTGAAATAAAAATTTAAATTAACTGTCTTATTTCAAATCATTTTTAAATTTCAAAGCAATCTTGATTTTAATTTAGATGGTGGTAATTAAATAATAAAAAATCAAATAAAATGTATAATAAATCAAAAAATTAAATAAAATGTAGTCTTAAAATCATTAATGAATGGCACTTGTCCCACGCTGAACTTGTTTCACTATATTTTATTATTTAAAAATTATATTAATATATATTTAATATTATATTTTAAATTAAAATATGTAATATATAACATAAAAAAAAAGAAAAAAGTTATGGTAAAATATTTTATAATAATAAATTTGATATGTTTTCAGTTGAGTTTTTTCTTCTTTTTTTTTTTTTTTGTCATATGGTACTTTTGTTAATTATTTTCTTAAAATATTATAATGATTAATTGGTTATGGGCTTGCGTCTAACTCATTGCTTACCTTAATTGTAATTTTAATTTAATTTTCTAACGGCTAGTTGTTAATTAAGTTAATTATATATATGGTAAGTTTTACTCAACAGGCCTTAAAATTCAAAGTTAACTATATATATATGGTAATTTTGATCTAACAAACCTTAATTAACTTAGTATTATTACTATTTATTTACTCTGCTATGAAAAATGTGTATACACAAGAGAAGGTTCGAGAAGTGTTTGGAAGGATTGTATTTCTTCCAATTCCATCAGGTAAGGTAAGGGTTTCTTCCGGCTTGAAGTTTCCGTGCAATAGCGGGATGAACGGCGACCATTTCAATCGGTATAGTCTGCTCTGGCAAATGTGGTATACATAAAAGAAAGTTCCAGAAGTTTGGTGCTCTCGGAAGCGTTGTATTTCCATTTCCATCAGGTAAGGGTTTCTTTCGGCTCCGGTGCAATGGCGGGATGAACGGCGACGTTGCGGCGGCCATTTCTATCGGTATGTTTTAGTTGAATCCAAGATTCGATTCTGATTTGCGATTTCTTCAAACTAATCGATTGAGTTTAATATGTTACCATGTGCTTGGACTGGTGCATCGAATTTGGACTCCCATTCCTCGAGCTGTTCGCCCTTTTCATCATCGTCATCATCTTCTTCTTGTTCTTGATAATCTTGCTTTGGTTTCTAAAATATAGTGAAATATTTATATTATATGCTGCTCCTATAGCGCATTATTCTATCCTTGTGTTTATTTGTTTGTTATCAGACGAAGGATTATATTGCCACCCCCAAATCAAATGGTTGTCAGAGTCTTCATTCTACAGTGATTCCTCTTCTCTACGAACGCATGTTTAGGCTGGAATGAAATTATTTTAATGGTTATGCTTTTTAACTTTTCTTGCTGCATGTTCTCTCCTTATCCATCAAGTATTCTTGCAGAAAATAAATTGATATATATATTATAGCTATTTCATTGTGTTTTGTATTAGTTGATCTTGTTAATTCTCATGAATCTGATTTGCTGATTAGGACAGAAGAGATGGGTTTGATTGCTGAAAGAGGGATAGCTGCTCATTATAGTTGTAAAGTTTTTGTAAATGGCAGAAACTCCCGAGGAAAAACAGTCTGCCTCAACAATGAGAATGTTGCTCTTAGGGTATTATACTTGTACATCCTGTGAAGCATTTATTTGTCCTATACTAGTATTAACTTGTGATTTTCAGATTAATTGGCTTCCGAGGGTGGCAGGAGCAGTTTTTGGGAAATATGAGCTATAGGGAATTTGTTGATACAATCACCAGGGATCTTCTTGGCAGCCGTTGCTTTGTATTCACACCAAAAGGAGAGGCAAGATTCTGGTAACTATGTTATTCTGAGCTTGAAATCTATTAGTTTTGTTTCTAAATATTTAGCCTTCCTACAGATTAAAAATCTTCCCAAGGGTGCAACTGCCATTGATAACGCATATATGATACACTGTGATACTGGGAACAAAATGGTTGCTGCAGATGTACTTTCCTGTATATACTCTGCAGCAGTACTCTGTTTTGTCTTGTTAAATTGCCTGCAATTCTTGTGTCAGTAGCCGAAAATGTTCCTTTGCAGGTTAATGGAAACACGTAGAGCCTGACACAATATCATGAAAGTATGTTTATTTGTTGATCTAAACAATTGATTTGAACATCCTCTTTCATTCAATTGAGAAGAAGTGTGAGATGTTTTTGTGTCTCCCAATTTCAATATTTCAAGTCTTTAAGTAACTTTGATTGTGTTTTCAATCTCAATCTTTCGACGCCATAAACAATTTTGAGTCCATATATTTCAAATTGGATAAACGGGGCTTTCTTGGAGGGTCAGGGTTTGGTGGGATTAGGTTAATTTGGATATTTCAATTTCAAGCTAATGGGTTGTTCTTGAAATTTTTAGATATTTCAATTTCAAGAAGTGATTTGGAATAGGGCTGTGCAAGGTGAAATTAATTCGTTCAGGAAGCCTTAAGCAAAATGGTGGGAAGATGCACGGATGCGAAGATGGATCTTTAAAAAAGTACTGGGAGATTCTGAATTTGGTGAACTTTATAAATGCAAGAGAGGTAACTCCTGCCAAAACTGTCCCTATCCTAAAATATATCTCTTTGATCTCTTGGTTGATATCTTAATCTTTTTACAAAATTTTAAATTATCATTCCCAACATCTTCAAACTATTCCATCTTTTGTTCTTTTTTAAAATGAAATGAACTCATTTTTTTCTCAATAGAAGTTCTTTCGAATCTTATTTTCTATCTTTGAAATTCAATTATTATACCATCTTCTCCCATTTTCCTAATCCTTATTCTGAAATTTCAAAATATTGTTTCCTTTGGTCTTTCAAAACTTCATTTCAATTGTATGCCTACGTCAATTTCTTCTATTTTTCAATTCCATTTTTCAAATATCCTAATAATTCATCCTATTCTTTTAAAAAATATGATAATTTTTTGTAAGTAAGATTGAACTCATGTTTGTTTCCATCCAAAATCTCTAAGAACTTTTAACTTTTTACAAAATTTTTCCTTAATATCTCTTAAAATATTATCTCCTCTTCTCTTTTTGAACGTTAGCTTCTTGATTGTTTTATTTGTTCTTCATGCATTTCTCCATTTATTTTGTTGGATTGTCATTTTTCTTTTTACTATTTTTCCTAAATCTATGCATAAAGTGTTAAAGCCTTGTTGAAATTCCTTAAAAATTTAGGTAACTCTTTTCAAAGCAATTTTGGAAATTGGTGGGATTGGTGAATTAAGTGATTCAACAAACCTTAAAAGGTGGGAAGAGAAATCCAAATCTTGAATGTGCATTAAAATATATATATGTATATTGGCCATTTTTTTTTTTCTTATTTAGTCGAGCATGTTTGCTATTACAAAGAAATTGAGGTTTGAAGTTTCCCTAATAACGGCTATAGGTGAATTGAGTGCTTTCATAAGCTATTTTTTAAAGTGAAAAGGGAAATCTAAAGTTTCAATATTGTTTTTTCAAAATTTTTTTGATTATTAAAAAAATATTGGCCATTTTTTTCTTTTTACTATTACAAAACAATTGAGGTTTTAAAATTTCCCTTAACTGACAGTTATAGTGAATTTAGTGATTCCATAAATTATTTCTTAAAGTGAAAAGGGAAATCTAAAGCTTTAATATTGGCTTTTTCAAATTCTTCTTGATAATTAAAAAAGTATTGGCCATCTTTTTTCCTTGTTAGTCTTGCCTGTTTACTATTACAAAACAATTGACGTTTTAAGATTTCCCTTAATACTGACGGTGATAGTGAATTGGGTGATTCCATGAACTATTTCTTAAAGTGAAAAGGGAAATCTGAAGCTACAATATTGCCTTTTCAAATTCTCTTTGATTATTAAAAAATTATTGGCCATCTTTTTTCCTCGTTAGTCTTGCATGTTTACTATTACAAAACAATAAAGGTTTTAAAATTTTCCTTAATACTGACGGTGATAGTAAATTGGGTGATTCCATAAACTATTTCTTAAAGTGGAAAGGAAAATCTAAAACTTAAATATTGCCTTTTCAAATTCTTTTTGATTATTAAGAAAATATTGGCCATTTTTTATCCTCGTTAGTCTTGCCTGTTTACTATTAAGAAACAAGTGAGGTTTTGAAATTTCCCTTAATACTAATGGTGATAGTGAATTGGGTGATTCCATAAACTATTTCTTAAAACGAAAAGGGAAATTTAAAGCTTCAATAATGCTTTTTCAAATTTTTTTTTGCTTATTTTTTCTTATCTTTGTTACTCTTGTTGACTAATTGAGGTTTGGGTTTGTTCTCACTTAATACAGTGATGGTGAGTTAGATGATTCTACAGACCATTTCCTAAAATTGAAGGTGAAACATAAACCTTAAATGTGATTTTTCAAATTTTCTTTTTATTGTTGTTTCTTCTCCCTTTGTCACTTTTGCCTGTCATAGTTGAACGATTGAGGTTTTGAGAGTTCTCTTTTAAACTAATAGGATGGTGGTTTGGGTGATTCCAAAACCATTTGTTATAGTAGAAGGAAAAATTTAAACATTAAATGTTCTTTTTCAAGAAAATTTGGCTACTTTGTCCTCTCCCATATTATTCTTGTATGTCATAGTTGAACCGTTGAGGTTCTAGGTTCCTCTGCGGCAGATATACCACTAATTTATTTTTCCTAATTTGTTTTATTTCACCTTATAACAAATGTTTTGATTTATGCATTTGTCATGTGTAGTTTATTGTGTTATTAGGTTGCCTTTTTAGTTCAATCTTTTGCCTAAATTTATGCATTAAAAATTCATTTAAATCTGTTTAAATGATTTAACTCTTTCTAGAACATTTTTCAAACCCCTCAAAACTAACTGGATGGTCAATCTCCACGAATCATTTTTGGAAGTGGGAGCAGAATCCCAGACAATTTTTCAAAGAATTTGGCCTTCTCTTCGTCTCTCCTTGCCACTCTTGCTTGCAATATCTTAACTGGGGATGGTTAATCCGACTGCCTTTTTTTTACAAAGTTTCAACTAATTCATTCCTTTAGTATCTTTAAAAATATTATATCTCATGTTCTCTTTTTTAAACAAAATAAGTGACTCATTTTCTCTCCATTCAAAATCTTATAATAGTTAATATCTATTCACAAATAACTCATTACCTTTAATTTGAACAAATACTTATAGTGATGTGCTATGCTTTTATTATGTATTGCCAGTGTTCATGTATATATTTTGACCAGCTTTATCTTTATATCCAAGTAGTCTTGTTTGATTTAAAATTTTTATGTAATATGTTGTGTTTTTTGTGTTGATGGTTATGCTTTGTGTATTAGTTCTCTGTGGCAGGACACATCCAACCAATTTTTTAATTCTTGGTGAGTTTTTCAAATATAATGTTTCGTATTGTGAGTACTTCTATGTTTTGTTTATTTCTATTTTTGTATCTATTAGTTCTAATTAATGTTGTGTATATCATTGTCTAGACCAATGTTCTGATCAATTTTATCTTTTTCTTATCCATTTAGTATTGTTTGATTTAAATTTTTTATGTAATATGTTTTGTTGTTTGTGCTGATATATTATGTTGTATATGGTGCAAGGGACAATGATTATTGTAATAACTCTATTTATTGTTGCAACTATATAAATTTATCCACTCAAAATACACTTAACAAGTTTTGTTTAAATGGTGCAAGGCACCATTATCATTTTAATATGCTTTGCTCTTATTTTAAAAAATATGCATATGCATTGGTGCTGAAAAATCACTTAAGGTTTATGAAGAGCACTGTACGTGGGTTTTTTGTGCCAAGTTTCAGGATATGGACAATTCATCTGGATTTGCTGCTGGAGACACCAACTCAAATGGACTGAACTTAATGGAACCCACCAAAATCAGGTAGTTTTCAAATCCTAATCTATTATATTAATTCATTCATTTATCATGCACTGCACTTATACGTGTTTAATGCATTTTTCTATTCATCAGTATTGTGTATTAGCTATTTTTTAAGATCTGTATGTAAGCTTCTACAAAAAGGAGAAGAACTTTTCTACGGAGTCAGAGATTGATTTGGATGTGCTTTCAACCAAAGGATGGTGTTTTCTGTTTTATTAATTTTTTGACTTTATTAAGTATCTATTGACATATATTTTCTAAAACTTTTTAAATACCTTAGGTGAGCGGGGGTGTAGTGGACTATTCATTCGGATTTGCGGCTGGAGAGATACCAACTTAAGTGGAATGGAGTTGCACTAATTTGTATTATGATGCTTTTTGTTTTGGATTGCATAATAACAATTTCTTTTTTTTTTTTTTTTTTTTTTTTTAATGAAGGAACTGCAAACTAGGAGAAGTGATTAAAAAGGTTGTATTTGGATGGGATTTCGACCAAGACATGGTATATTTTTTAATTATTCTTTTTCCATAATTATCTCTAGTGATATTTTTCAATTTATGTTCAAATATCTCCGGCGGTGCAGACGTTGTCGAGCATTTAGCCCGGTTTGCGGTTAGAGATCACCCATTAAAAACCACATATCATGCATTGTCCAAGTCTTTAATTAATATATAATTTTTTTATAAGTTTCTGCACTTGAGTACAATGATCAGTTTTTCAAGCAAACAAATTTAACTTGCAACATAACTATAGTTTCAATTCCAAGTCAGGGTTGCTGCTGCGTGTCTCATTGGTAAAATGTTGCATTTCCATTATTTTCCTGAGATGAGTAAGCATTACAATCTTTTGAGTTTCATTGATGATGTTTCATATCTCTTTAGTTTAAATATTTGTTTGCTACATGGCTCATATTTCCACCTATAGGTCCTTGCCTTCCATATGTGGTAAATTTGGTGTTTTTAGTTCGAACATGTAACATGGAAAGATTCTGTTTCCCAAAGCTGATGTGCTTTGACTCATAAGAAATGAAAGTTCCTTTCCTTTCCTAAATAAAATGATTCTGAATGTTGTTTTGTTGGATTTTTCTTTCCCTTGTAGATTATCAACCTATATACTTGTCTGAATAGATATTTTCTAATTTTCTACTTTCCTTACAATGTCAAGATTGAATGGAAGG